ATCCAGGACTGGGCTGCTAGTGCTGCAGTCAGCGGGAACCCATCATCGCCATCATCGTCCTAGAGCTGACCTCTCTCCTCAAGATGACCTCACGACCTAAAATGGCTACCAGAGTCCAAGCGTCACATCTGTATCCCTGGAAGCATGAAGGAGGAAGGGGAAGGGCAATGGGTGCACACTTCCCAGCCGAGGCAGCGTTCTTTACACAGTCTGCCACACCCGTGTAGGACCCATCCACCCTTGCTCAGGTGGCACACTGTGCAACCCGAGAGGATGCCATACACATCGTCCGCAGCGTGGATTTGCATATGTATTTACAAGTGCTTTCTGGGAGATGACAATGAGGCGTCTTAGGACCAAACAATACACTAGGTTAATTTTCTTATCTTGTTTTAAAGGACAGGTGTCTTTTCCTAATTTATACCAAGTACTATCCAGGCCACAGATGGCTCTTCCCCAAACACACTTACGGCTCTTTGTCAGCACCTCATTGCTCCATCAGACTGAGCTGCAGAGAGGGCCAGGAAATGCAGTGTTCAGCTGGGCTTTGCCAATGAGAAGCAAAATTCCAAGTGAGGAAGGAAGCAGGAGAAGGGGGCACATTTGCTGAGTGCCCAACTCCCTCCAGGCAGCGGGGGCAGGGCACCAAGGTTTCAGTAACCCAGCCAGGCCGCCTTTTTCTCCCGCAGCCACAATGCGCCCACCTCCCCAGGCACATTTCCTCACCTTGCTCCCAAGCCCTGGCTTAGGATTTCCAGAAGGGGCATCTGAACGGCAATCCTGACTTCTGCGTTAATACTCATGGCATCGTCATGAAGAAGCAGCAGTTTCCAGGAGGCTAGGTCGGGACAGCTGGAACAGACGGAAATGAAAAGACTGCACCCCGGAGCTTGCAACTGTCAGTGCCTACGGTGGGCACAGGGGTAGATCTCGGCGTTCCTCGCCCACACGTGCACTTTACTACTTTGTGTCTCGTGAACTCCCGGGTAGCCTTCAAAACTCCCAGCCACACGCACACCCATGGTGTCTGCTGAGCTCATCTCTGGTCCAAGAAGACTTTTCCAAGGCACCAATCCAAATCCCTTATTTACTTTAAAAGAATGAATGACTTCCTGGTCCATTACAGACCAAATTCAAGTTATAAGAAAAGAGTTTTTAGTCTCAGTCCTTAAACGAATCGTCTGTTTTTAAAACTTGGGTTTCTGCCCCAAGCATAACAGAAAGATGACTTCAGTTCAATTCTTAGAAGGATGTCTGTTTCACCCATGCGTGTGGGAGACGGAAGCGCCTCCTTTATTTGACCTCGTGTATCTAAGAGTTGGCTTTGTAAGTCAGACCCAGGAAGGCAGGAGAAAACGAGTTCACAGCCCCATGGGCTTTCCTTGTCCCTTTCAAGTACTTTACATGCAGTCCTAAGGTTATCGTATTGCCCAATTAGCTTCTTCATTGCAAACTGACCCCGATTTATTTTTTTAAGATTTTATTTATTTATTTATTTGAGAGTGAGGCAGAGAGAGAGAGCACAAGTGGGGCAGAGGGAGCCTGACGCAGGACTCAATCCCAGAACTCTGGGATCAAGACCTGAGCTAAAGGCAGACACTCAACCCACGTAGCTACCCAGGCACCCTGATGATTGATTTTTTTTCCCCAAGTTGCATAAGTATGTGTCCAGAGCTTGACCTCAGAGAAGAATTTGGGGAATTAAACTCCATATGATCTTGTTTCTTACCCGAGTCGTCAAGGTCCCTTTGAGCACAATCTCACATGACCACTGTCCTCCAGTTACTGTGCTAAAAAAGAAAGAAATCAGGCTGGTTTACAAGAAAAACTACATTTTCCTTATGAGGCAAGCTAATTACTGTTTTAGGAAGGGTACTCTGACTCTGAGGAAAAAATGTTTCCACTGGGAAAGACTTCCTCCCCTCTGACCCCCCGACCTCTCCCAGCAGAGCATCAGGTCTGGGTTCTGGGAAAATGCATTATAACCAAACAACACGAAGTGATGGAATCAGGTTGAATACGGATCTGGAGCTTTCAGAGTGTGCCTCCCAGGCTCGGGCATCAGGAGCCCGCCCCACGAAGCTGCCACGCTCCTAGAACCTGAGACTTGTGACGTCTTCACGGTGGCTCCTGAAGGCTGGTGTTTTGAACGAGGCAGAGTGTTTTCTCCACTGGCAGGAGCGGATCCCATGCAAGAGCTCTCCCTGAGGACGTGACAGCCAAAGAGACAGAGATCTGTCCCTGAGGGTGAGAATTGCAGCCTCTCAGGACAGATGGAAACAAAGATGGGCGCCTGCCCCTGGACAGGGGTTGCAGGATGCAGACAGCCAGAGGTCCCCCTCGTGCTGCCTCCATCCTCCCAAGCCACGTCCTTGGGGAGCGGACACTCCCAGACGGCAGTTTCCCGTGCATGGCTCTGGTGTGCGGGAATCTCCCGGGGGCTCTGCCAGCCTGAAGATTGCACCCAGTAGGAAGGGATTCAGGGGAAGGAACGCACGGGGCCAGAGACCTGCTTTGAGCCAGGCGTGGTTTCCCCCAGGTTACAAGGCCACAGATGCTCAGAGTGCTTTGGTAGCTTGGGATTTCAGCTACCAGAAACAGGAGAAGCTCCCTTTTTGTAAACCCCGAGATGTTCAAGTTCTTAAGTCAAGGTAGTCCCAGTTTCTCTTTTGTGGGGGGAATCCCATGGAATGGGGTTCTCTGGGAAGGCCAGACCGGGTCTTCCCAGACCCACAAGGGCGTTGTGTGTTACTTGGAGTGTGGTGGGCCTGGGAGATGATGTGTCACCTCCCCAACACACTCCCACTTCCAGGAACCAGGCCACCTGTGACTTCCAAATCAGCAGGTCTTGCTGAGTAGAGTCAGAGCCCGGGTGGGTTCCCACACTCGAGGGGCAGCCTGCAGGCTTGGGGGCCATGACCATGGCCGCACCGGGCTCCTAACAGAGTGTCCCTGCAGCAGTGACCCAGCACACCCCGAGTTGTGTTGTGCACCTGCCTGAGCCCTTGCTCTCCACATCTCTTCCCCGGGCTGGGCTGTGTTTAGGTTGGGTCTGTACCTAGGGGTGATTTGCTGAGTCACAGACTTTGTCAAGGTCCAGTTCTAGTAGATTCTGCCCCTTTTTCAGAGAGACTGTAGGCAATTCTCCTGCAAGATTCTGGTTTATCCCTTACAGTTGGGATGGTGCCGTCCACGGCCTTCTGCCACCTTAGAGGGGAATAGAGAGGATTTAGGGCCGAAAAGGACATCTTCCCTGCCTTCTAGAGGCCCACAGTTCCATCGTGCAGAGAGATCTTCCCTGAGTAACCAAGCACAGGGAGTAGAGGTGGTCTGGGGTGCATGTCCGTGCAGCTTGGGAACCTGCCTCCCCCGTTTACGGGCTCTTGGGGCTTAGACACACTGCTCAGCCTTCATTTCCTCAACTGCAAGATGGGACTATTACGATAATTAGGTGAGCTGAATGATATGGAGTCACTCCCCCCGAGGAAGCCCTCCCCAACACTGCCTGTCACCTGCCCAGACCATGAGCCCCCAGCAGCGAGAAGGCATCGGCCGGAGTTGGGGGGCAGGGAGGGACACACACCTGTCCCCTGCGTCAGTAGGATGGGGACAGTGAAGGGCATTTGATCTCTGCAGTGCTGAGGGAAGGGCAGGAAGGCTAAGCGATTTCTGGATGCCTGCGGACCAGGATTTCAAGGACCAGCCCCCGGTGGCCCAGTTCAGGGGTGGTGGGAGCCAACCCCAGGGCCTCGGCCTGGCCCCAGCAGGTCCTTCGGCAAAGAGGACTCGGACAGCTTCTCAGGTTGTCCTAGGAATAGGCAGGTCTATAGAGACAGAAAGCGGAATTGTGGTTGCCTAGGGCTGATGGAAATGCTCTAAAATTGGGGCTCTGGCAAACTAGAAATCACCAGATCCTATACTTGAGACAGGGAAATTGTACAGCTTGTGAATCCTATCTTCTTTTTTATTTATTTATTTATTTATTTATTTGACCGACAGTGATCACAAGTAGGCAGAGAGGCAGGCCAGGGGGATGGGGGCGGGAAGCAGGCTCCCTGCTGAGCAGAGAGCCCAGTGCGGTGCTTGATCCCAGGACCCTGAGATCATGAGAAGGCAGAGGCTTAACCCACTGAGCCACCCAGGCACTCCATGAATCCTATCTTCTAAAGAGGTTTTAAAATTACAGCTGGGATGTATGGCCTCATAACACCCCATCTCACCAAGCCTCCGTGCTGGTCCCTGCACCCATGGGGACTGGAGACAGTAAGGGGTGGAGCCTCCGGAGCCCAGCACTGCATGGGGCGGCGGGGGTGGGGGGGCACTCACGAGGGTGGAGAGAAGCTTCCAGAGCCAAAGGCCCATTGGAGAACCAGAGAACCATGAGGCCACGGAGGGCAGCCCCCATACCTGGGGGCTGCGGAGAAGCCGCCCTGCATCCACATTTTTCCGATTCAAAGAATGAATTTCATAGCTCAGTAGATGAGCTTACAGATGAGGCTTGTCTTTTCTTTCTTGGTGTTCAGTACTTCCCTGTGCTTATATTCTTTTTTTTTTTTTTAAAGATTTTATTTATTTGACAGAGAGAAATCACAAGCAGTCAGAGAGGCAGGCAGAGAGAGAGGAGGAAGCAGGCTCCCTGCTGAGCAGAAAGCCCGATGTGGGGCTTGAACCCAGGACCTGGGATCATGACCTGAGCCGAAGGCAGCGGCTTAACCCACTGAGACACCCAGGCGCCCCTATATTCTTTTTTTTAGGTCAGAAGTGCATGAGGTCTGGGGCATCGGTGCGGGTCTGACTCGATCTCAGCTTAGAGCTTGAGCTCAGGGTCGTGAGTTCGAGCCCCACACTGAGCTGCGTGCTGGGTGTGGTGCTTACCTTAAAAAAAAGTACCTGATGTCTAGGGTGCAGTGGGAGACCAGGTGGGGATTTGGGGTCTCCAGCAGGGGGTCGAGGCGTGGCCGGGGGTCTCAGCGGCTGACGGACACTCCTCGCTTTTGCAGGAATCATGTGGCTGGAGATTCTCCTCACCTCCGTGCTGGGCTTTGTCATCTACTGGTTTGTCTCCCGGGACAAGGAGGAAACATTGCCTCTTGAAGATGGGTGGTGGGGGCCCGGGGCAAGGCCCGAAGCCGCGGAGGATGGCAGCATCCGCCCTTTCAAGGTAGAGACCTCCGAGGAGGAGATCCAGGTAAGGTAGCTTCTGCAGGTGGGGCTGAGCAGGGGGGAGGACAGGGAGGCCCCTGCTGGGGCTCCCCCGAGGCTGGGACGGGCCAGAGAGCAGGTTTCCCTCCACTCTCCTCCCACTGGGCAGGTGCCCAGAGAGACATGTCCAGCCTGCCCCCTCTGCCCACCCGTCCCCTCTACTCCTTCCTCCTCGGGCAGGACCTCCATCCCCTGCCCAAGTTCCAGCCATGCCCAGGTGAGGGAGTGGTGCCAGCTGTCCCGGGCACGTGCATCCAAGGAAACGGAAAGCCGCTGTGTCCTCCTCCTTTGCATCCAGGGAAGCCTTGGGAGTGAGCTGGCAGGAGAAGGCCAGCAGGTTCTAACCGGGGCTCAGGCAGAGATCCTGAGTGAGAAGAAGCAAGGCTGCGGTGACGTCAGATGCTGTCAGGGTCAGCCTCCGTTATGCGCCTGCTGGGGGGCGGGGGCTCATGGTCCTGTGCGGTCCCCGCAGTGACCCTGTAGGCTGAAGACTGTCATCCCCTCTACGGACGCAGGAATTGGAGCTCAGACAAAGCAATGGGCTCCAGGTGACCAAGATAATAAGCAGGATTTGGGCTCCGGTCCGTCCAACCCCGGAGCGTGTGCCCCTCCCCCACACGCTGGAGTCTGGGGTGCCGGGTGGGGTGGGCTGCTGGCCCAGGAGGGTGAGTGGGACCCAGGGAGGCCCTGCCCATTCTTTTTTTTTTTTTTTTAAGATTTTATTTATTTATTTGACAGAGGTCACAAGTAGGCAGAGAAGCAGGCAGAGAGAGAGGGGGAAGCAGGCTCCCCGCTGAGCAGAGAGCCCGACACGGGGCTCGATCCCAGGACTCTGGGATCATGACCCGAGCCGAAGGCAGAGGCTTCAACCCACTGAGCCACCCAGGCGCCCCAAGGCCCTGCCCATTCTTGCTTTCATTCTGTGCATATTGGAGCACCTGCTGTATGCAGGTATGGTGCTGGGCTTCCCGAGAAGGGAGAAGTCCTGCCCGCCATTCACTCCCAGTCCCATAATCTAGAGAAGAAGTGGGCACAGAGGAAAAGGAACTGAGGGTTTACTAAGGATACATGCCGTACGAAGTGCCAATAAAAAGTAAGATTTCGGTGAAAAGCAGAAACTGGGCTACACCCAAGCGAAAGCAGGCTGAGGCTCCTTGGGGGGGACCACCAATGCCTTGCTGTTCAGGACAGAAGCAGGGCCCCGAGGGCCACTTCTCTCGTGGGTTCTCAGACCCAGAGCTAAGACATCTGAAACCTGGGTGCTGGAGAGCTCGGGACACTGACCGAGAAGGTAACGGTTGGGAGGCCCCCTGAGCCGAGGCGGACGACGTTCTAGTCCGATGCTCGCCCAGCAGGCTTCCTGGTCTGTGTCTTGATCCCAGCGGAGTTACAGCATTTCCCAGTGCTGAGTCTCCGAGTCTGCAGACCACAGCCGTGGGACAACTCTGTCCTGCCGCCTGCTGATCCGGATCGCTTTTATGTGTCTCCATATGGCTGAAAACCATCCAGAAAAGAACACTGTCTCAAGACATGTGGAAATCACATGGCACGAGGGATTCCATGTCTGTAAATAAAGTTTTACCGAAACACGGCCGAGTCCGCTCGTCCGCGACTTGCCTGTGGCTTGGCCACTTCCATGCTGCAAGGACAGAGTGGACCAGGGGCAGCTTCAAAAGCCTAAAATAGTTACTGGCTGGCCTCTGACCAAAAAAGGTTTGCTGGTCCCTGCGTAAGCCTAGATAAATGAAAGATGCGTATCGTTTGTATGGTTAAAAATAGGGAAGAGTGAAGTAAAAAAAAAAAAAAAAAAATACTGAAGTCAAAGGTGAAGAACATAGGAGCGTCTGGGGGGCTCAGTCGGCTCAGTGGCCGACTCTTGGTTTCAGCTCGAGTCATGATCTGGGGGTCCTGGGATCAAGCCCTGCGCCCAGCTCCGCGCTCAGTGGGGAGTCGAGTTTCTTTCTCCCTCTGCCCCTCTCCCCCTTATCAACTCAGGCGCTCTCTCTCTCTCTTTCTCTCCCTAATAAATTAATTGTTTAACAAGTGAACAACATAGGCTTTGGGAACAGCCACTGTTGTGGGAAACAAGGAGATTTCTCCTGGGGTCAACCTGACTGGCCGGGACGCACATCTATAGACCGGTGACTCCTGTCCTCCAGTGGGATGGGAAGCAGCTTTGCCTCGACCGCTCACTCTGCCTCATGGCTGCACTCTGTCTTCCGGAAACAAACCTGCTTTGTGTTCTGCCCCCGACCCCTATCTCTCCCCGGCTCCTGTGTTTTGCTCCAGGACTTACACCGGAGGATTGACAGGGTCCGTTTGACCCCACCTTTGGAGGACGCGCATTTCCATTTTGGCTTCAACTCCACGTACCTGAGGAAAGTCCTTTCCTACTGGCGGAATGACTTTGACTGGAGGAAGCAGGTGGAGATTCTCAACAGGTACCCCCACTTCAAGACTAGGATTGAAGGTACGTTTGCACGCCAGCCACTGGGGAGGGCAGTCTGTCGTGGGAGCGGCCTTCGTCCGTGGACCCCACTTAGAACCCAAATACCGGTCCTTCAGTGGATTTGTAGGGTCACCTTTCTGCTGGGCACAAAGATGCCAAATCCCCACCAATCTAGTGGGCATTCGAGCAAGACCGGAAAACACATAAATCATTTCAAAGCCAAAGTAACACAGAATCTGATGGAACAGCTGTGGAGAAGAGGGAGCGGAGGCCTGGGCCTGCCATAGCCACGGGCAGCTCAGCCCCTCTTGAGGCCTCAGAGTGTGGGCTACTGTGTCCGCTCAGAGTGCTCGGCCCATCAGGCGAGGTCCTGTGGAAGATTGCCCTTTCTGTCTCCAGCCCTCCACCTCGAGTCCCCCCTGGATGGCAGGTTGTCCCACAGCTTCTCCTAGAGGGAAGGCGCCTCTCAGATAGTCTTGCCAAGGTCACCTCAAGATCACTTGAGCTGAGGGAACTGTTGCCTCAGTGGGAAAGGTTTTTCCCCACTTTGATGGAGAAATCGTTGAGACCCATCACGGTGCGAGGTTGAGGCGTGCAGTGTGATGGTTTGGCGGATGTCTGCTGTGAAGTGATCAGCACAGGAGGCTCTGCTAACATCCAGTTGCTCCTACAGATACGACACAAAGACAGAAAGCCCTTGTCTCCATGTGGCGAGAACTCAGGATTTTACCGTCCCTCCAACAGCAGGGTCTGCTACGAGACACCCTCCGGTGCTTCCTTCCCTTACATGTGGGGTTTGAACCCTCTGACCCCCCTCGTCCAGCTCTCTCACTCCCCCATAACCACATGTCTGATCTCTTTTCCTGAGTTTGTTTGTTGTTTTGTTTGAGATCCCACGTATCAGTGAGATCCTGCAGTGTTTGCCTTTCTCCATCTGGCTTATCTCACTTAGTGAGATGAACGCATCATGTTGTCACGAGTGGTAGGGTTTCCTCGGTTTTCATGGCTGAATAATATTCCATTGTGCACACATGCACCACGATGTCTCTATCCATCCCTCCATCCGTAGACATGTCTTGGCTACTGTAAATAATGCTGCAGTGAACTTGGGGAGTGGATATCTCTTTGAATTAATATTGTAATTTTCCCCAGAACGGGATTGCTGGACCATATGGTCATTGTGTTTCATTTTTTGAGGACCGTCCATGCTGTAAATGGCTGCACCCATTTACAATCCCAGCAGCAGAGCACGAGGGTTCCTTTTCCTCTGCATCCTCGCCAACACTGGGTATCTCTCATCTGTGTCTTTTGATCGTGGCCATTCTGACGGGTGGGAGGTAACATCTCGTTGTGGTTTTGATTGGCATTTCCCTGAGCATCTTCTCATGTGTCTGTTGGCCGTCTGGGTGTCTTCTTGGAGAAGCATCTATTCAGGTCCTTTGCCCATGGTTTAATTGGGTGGTTTTTCTGCTACTGAGCCGTATGAGTTCTCTCTGTATTTTGGAGATTAACCCGTTATCAAACACATGGTTTGCAGTTATTTTGTCCCATTCCACGGGTTGTCTCTTCACTCTGTGGATGGTTTTTTTTTTGCTCTGCAGAAGCTTTTGAGCTTGATGTTGTCCCACATGTTATTTTTTGCTTCAGTTGCTTGAACTTTAGGTATCACATCTGAGAAACCATCACCAGGACCCATGTCGGGGGAGCTTTGTGTCTGTGTTTCCTTCCAGGAATTCCGTGGTTTCAGGTCTTACATTTAAGTCTTTGATCCATGTCGGGTTAATTTTTGTGAGTGGTGTGAGATAGGGGTCCAGCTCCATTGTTTCCATGTGAATATCCAGTTATTCCGGCACCACTGATCAAGAGACCATCTTCTCTCCCATTCAGCATCCTTGTCAAAGACTAGTTGACTGTACATCCCTGGGTTTATTTCCAGGCTCTCAGTTCTGTTCCACTGGTCTGTTTGTCTGTTGGAAAAGCATATCTTAACCCCAGAAAGATTTAGAATCAAACAGAAATGTTGGGGCCCCTGGCTGGCTTGGTCGGTGAAGTATGTGACTCTTGATCCTGGGGTTGTGGGTTTGAGACCCACACTGAGTGTAGGATGACTTAAGAATAAGATGTTTAAAAATAATAAAATTTCAACAGTATGGAGAAAATAATATTTGTGAGTTGAACTCAAAGGCTTAATAGAGAGCTAGGTCTTGTAACTTTATTTTGTAACTTGAATAAGGTGAGGACTAATTTTAAATATAAATTGGTTGTTGCTGTGCCCCTTAGGGGACACTGATGTCTTCATCACAGGTCTCACAAGAGGACCTAAGCCATTTCCTCCATGCTGAAGTACATACAGGTCCTTGTATGTGATTTCCAATGGTTGCCTTTCACACCACTACTGCCAGATGGCCTGGCTTCCTCACGGTGACTGGGATCACTGTGCAGCCCCAGCTCTTCCCCAGTCCTCTAGCCGGTGCTGACAGGCAGGCATCTCCTGGACCCAGGCATTCTGCTGGGCCTGAGGCCCCACGGCCAGGGAACAGGCTCCCTGCCTTCACTCAGGGGTGAAGCCTACGATTCCAGCACAGGGTGAGGGTTTCTGTGAGGGAGGAGGCTCTGGGAGCTTCGTGAGCCCAACATACCGCCTGGAAGTGTGACAGAAGGCTTCCCGGAGGAGGTGGTGGCATGTAAGCTGAGACTGAAAGGATGAATAGGAATTTGCCACTTATGTGGGGAAGGTGGTCCAGGAGGAGGGAACAGCATGTTCAAAAACGCAGAGGCGAGTGGCACTAAAGGGCTGTTCCCTTCCTGGCAGCTGCAGGCTTGAGAAAGTCTTACCCCCCAGACATCATGGCACAGAGCAGTGCAAGCTCCACAGGGGCTAACTTCGGGCATCGAGTCATCCTGGACCGCAGCCCACTGTGACTGAACCCATGTGTGGGTCAGCCACTTCTCCTGGCTGGCAGCCTGACCCCGGCCCAGTGAGCCTTCGTGCTTCTCTTTCCCTGGGTCCCCAGCCTGTGTGGTCCAAGAAAGTCTCCCTCCTCCCTCCTCCCTCGGTCTGCTGCCATCCTCATTCATCCCGCAAGCTTACCCCTCTCTGGGGTCTTCTCTGCCCCTAACCTGTGTTCCAGACTCTGCATTTGCTTCCCTGTCCTATGAGGAGGCCTGAGTCTCCCTCCGGAAATTAGTCTCTAGCCTCAGAGTCTGGGGGTGAGCAGGTGGGGCCTCCAGAGGGCTCAGGGCAGCCCAGACTGTCCCCGCCCCCGCCCCCCAGAGGACAGCATTGGTGAGTCACTGGGAGGCCGAGGTTCAGGGCCCCAACTAGCTCGGCACTTTACCCTTCATTTCCAGCCCCTGTCCCGGCTCGGGCCCTGGTCCCTGACCCCGTCCACTCATGTCCCCTTCACCACCCAGCAGGAGCCCACATCCGGGGCCTGGGCACCCCTTAGCACCACAGACAAGCAAGGAAACCTGGGGGGCAGGGGGCTTGCTTCCTCCGCCAAGGAAAGCCCCCTGTAGGACAAATTAGGAAGTATGGGTTTTGAACATTTTTCTTCATTTTTAAAATTCAAATGTATGTATATATATATGTGTGTGTGTGTGTGTGTGTGTTTATATTTATTTATTTATTTTTAAAAATTTTATTTATTATTTGACAGAGGGAGACACAGCAAGAGAGGGAACACAAGCAGGGGGAGAGGGAGAGGGAGAAGCAGGCCTCCCACCAAGCAGGGAGCCCAACATGGGGCCCGACCCCAGGACCCCAGGATCATGAACTAAGCCAAAGGCAGATGCCTAATGACTGAGCCACCTAGGCACCCCTAAAATTCAAATATTTAAAATTCGAACAGTATACAAGGACACAGTGAATAGGCAGCCTCGGTCTCGCCCCTTCTCCCTCCCCGGTTCCCGCCCCGGACAGCTTCCGCTTCCCTCACACACGTGCTCATGTGCACACCTCCAGGACCACCCGTGCACACCAGCACACGTGTGTATGCGTGGGGCCGCCCAGCTGTGCATGCAGACGAGTTAGACATCCTCTCACATGGTGCAGTATGTTCCGGAGGAGGAACGGTTACCTTCCAGAATGAACGCTAGAGCGGGCAGCCTGGAGGAACACAGACAAAAAGGCTCGGAAGTAGAGTGTAGGTAGGGTTCTGGTTTTGCTCAAAGAAAGTTATGATCTGTATTTCTTTAAAAAGTCTGAGCTGGGGCCGCCTGGGTGGTACTCTCTGTTGAGCGTCCGACTCTTGGTTTCCGTTCAGGTCGTGATTTCTCGGGGTCGTGAGATCAAGCCCCACGTCAGGCTCCACGCTCAGCCGGGAGCCCACTGGGGATTCTCTCTCCCTCAGCCCCTCCCTCTGCTTGCTCATGGCTCTCTGTCTCTCTCAGATAAATAAATCTTGAAAAAAAAAGTCTGAACTGCTACAGTCCAGAGAGTCTAAGGAGACATGACAATGGACCATAACGTGGGGTCCTGGATGGGATCCTGGAACAGGAAAAGGACGTTAGGTAAAAACTCAGGACATCGGAGCCATAGTCCATTGTCTGTGGACACCAACGTTATTCAGCCTTTAGAAAAGAAGGAAGCCCTGCCCTAGATGACCACATGCGTGGACCTCATGGACATTCTGTTGAGTGATATAATTCAGTCCTGTGAGGACACATACTGCACGATCCCACGGATGGGGGGAATCCCCAACTGTGACGCTCCTAGAGGCAGAGAAGAGGATGGGGGGGCCGGGAGGCGGGGAGGTGGGGAGACGCTTGGTAATGGGCATAGAGTCTCAGTTATGCCAGAGTAAGTTCTAGACACCCACGGGCGCATCATGCATCGTGCTCGCAGTTGGCGGTGCTGGATGGCATGCGAACCAATTTGTGAGGAGGGATTAAATGTTCTTCCTGCCAGAAAATTTTAAAAATAAAAATGTTTCTAAAACTAAGGAAATCTGAATAAATGATGGATTTTAATGGAGTTACGAACGTATTAGTACTGGTTCGTTCCTTGTAACAAATGTACCAGGCTAACGTAAGCTGTCAATGACCAGGAAATTGGGTGTGGGTTCGTGGGAACTTCCTGTACGGCCTCACTGTTTTTCTATAAATGTGAAATTGTTCCATAAGGGTGCCTGGCTGTCTCCGTGGAGCCTGAGACTTCCTTTTTTTTTTTTTTTAAGTAGGCTCCATCCTGAGATCAAGACCTGAGCTGAAATCAAGAGTCAGACGCTTAACCGACTGAGCCACCCAGGCAGCCCGAACATGCTAATCTTGACCTTGGGGTCATGAGTTTGAGCCCCACCCTTAAAAAAAAAACTGTTCCAAAATAACAAATTTACTTTTAGAAATTTGGAAAGACAACATAATGTTCTCTTCAGTTAGTGGTATTATGTGTGATTTTCCCCCTTTTGATTTATATGAATTTTCCATTTCTTACAGTAAACATGTATTGTTTATGTAATGAATTAGCAGTGGCCCAGAACGAGAGCTGGTCGTGGAGAGCTGGTCATGGTGCGGGGCCCCACAGGGGACAGCAGCGCAGGCTGTGTTTGCCTTTAATGCCCAGGCACTCTCCGGGTCACTTGCCTGGGAAGGGACCGCCCTCAGAGGGACTCCGGGGAGGGACTGGATTCACACACCCTTGGCCTGGATGTGTTCCTAATGCTCAGCACGCCACTCAACCTTAAAAAAAAGTCTCCACTTGAAAGAAGCTATGCTCTGAATTTATATCCCTTTTAGAAGTATTAGGAAGTTCAGAAAACACAAAAAATGAAAATAATTGGGGGCACCTGGGTGGGTCAGTCGCTGCCTTCGGCTCAGGTCATGATCTCGGGGTCCTGGGATTGAGCCCCCCGTCGGGTTCCCTGCTCAGTGAGGAGTCTGGTTCTCTCTCTGCCCCTACCACCCCCCTCTTGTGCTCGCTCTGAGCTCTCCATTGCTCAGAGGAAACTACTTTTTAGGTGTTTGTAGTCTGTCCTTCCAGACTTTAAAATGTATATACATGTGAGTTCATATACCACACACACGACAGCTTACAAAAATGAGATGTTTGACTTGGTGATTCGCTTTTACCAATTGGCAGTGAGCTGTTTTACATGTTAAATAAAAACGTATTTATACTGTCATCTTAAACAAATGTATCATAATCCAGTGTAAACCTGTAATCTCTTTCAGCCTCTAGTGCTGGATAGACAGGGTTTTTTTCTCCCAATCTCTTTTTAAGATTTTATTTATTTGTCAGAGGAACAGAGAGAGAGAGAGAGAGAGAGAGAGAGAGAGAGCACAAGCAGGGGGAGAGGCAGGCAGAGGGAGAAGCAGGCTCCCCGCAGAGCAAGGATCCCAGGACCTTGATCCCAGGACCCTGAGATCATGACCTGAGCTGAAGACAGACGCTTAACGATGGAGCCACCCAGGTGCCCCTCAATCTTTTTTTTTTTTTTCCCCAAGGTTTTCTATTTAAGTGACCTTCACACCCAACACGGGGCTCGAACTTACAACCCTAAGATCAGGAGAGGCATCTGCTCTACCAACTGAGCCGCCAGGTGCCCCTCCCCGAGTCTTCACAATATTAGGCAGCCTTGGCAAGTGCACGGCCGGCCAGCCCCAGGCAGGGCTCATGCTCCCATGTGTAAGGGCCATGGTCCTAGTCTGTACCTTGCAGGCGCCCCTGTGGCTGGAGCACCCAGTAGACACGCAGCCAGCGTGGGTGGCCGCTGTGCTCAGTACCGTGGGGCGCTGCCCGAGCTCAGGGAAGGGGGGTACAGCGTGCAAATGGGGGGCCATGGCTGCAGCCTCCCCCATCCCCGTGGGCTGACTGTGCTCTGTCCCCCAGGGCTGGACATCCACTTCATCCACGTGAAGCCCCCCCAGCCGCCGTCTGGCTGCACCCCAAAGCCCTTGCTGATGGTGCACGGCTGGCCCGGCTCCTTCTACGAGTTTTATAAGATCATCCCGCTCCTGACTGACCCCAGGAGCCACGGCCTGAGCGAGGAGCATGTGTTTGAAGTCATCTGCCCTTCCATTCCTGGCTACGGCTTCTCGGAGGCATCCTCCAAAAAGGGTACGGAGTGCTACTGGGGCCTCTGAGGGTCAAGTCTTCCCACAGGCAGGGAGCCAGCAGGGACAGCTCCCTTTGGAGCCTGGGGGTAGGGCCCAGATGGCTAGCACTCCTTTCTCGGACTCTCCTGGGGGTGGGGGGTGGGGGATGGGCAGAGCAGCCTGTCCTCAGGGGCCAGCACTGGCCTCAGGGCCTGCACTCCTGTGCTCTCAGGGGCTCCCCGCACCGGTTCAGGGCCACCTTTGTGCTTCTTGCTGTTCCAGACCAGCCCTCGCAGAGCACAGGCCCCCAGAACCTCGCGGTGCCAGCCTGAGCCCACCGCACCTTGCTGTGTGGCCGTCCATTCACTGGCCCTCTCTCCCACCAGAGGCCGGGCACACACCAGTAGCCAGGCTGCCATGGGGCCCCAGTACTCTTTCTCCCCTTCTGTGAGCTGCTGTTACCCCAGCCTGCGGCAAGGGTTGTGGGGGGGATGAGGAATTTCCTGGGAGCCCAGGGAGTGACCCCTCCGTGACTCTGTTCTCTCCCCTCCAAACCAGGCTTGAACTCTGTGGCCACGGCCAGGATCTTTTACAAGCTGATGCTGCGGCTGGGCTTCCGGGAATTCTACATTCAGGGCGGGGACTGGGGGGCCCTGATCTGCACCAACATGGCCCAGATGGTGCCCAGGTGAGGATCCCTGTCATGGGGAGGTTACCATCCGGGCAGGGGTCCACCTGGGCACACCTTCTGAGCCTTGGTGCGTGCTCGCCGGGGCTCACCCAGGCATGGTGTCTGTGGGCCTGGGAGAGGGGAGTGAGGGCCCCCCGTCACCCTGCTGGGCCTGGGGCACCTTGATGTGGATTCTGTCCTGGGAGTCACGGGGGTTGGGGACTCTGGGCCAGGTGCCCCGGCAGAGGGGGCAGGTAGAGGAGGAGAAAGTCAGGCAGTGGACCTTTCTGGAGGACCAAGCCCTGGAGGAGACCAGAACGTTCTAGAAACTCTGTCTTTTCCTCCCCATCATGGGGCCGCCCCAGAGGGGCAGGTTCCAAGAGGGCCGGCACCGCAGCCAGAGGGCTCATCTCCTCTCCCCCAGCCCTGCGCCAGCCTCACCCAGACCCTCTCTCTGCCCTCAGCCACGTGGAAGGCCTGCACTTGAACATGGCTTTCATTGTGAATCCTGGCATCCTGACCCTTCTTCTGGGACGGCGCTTCCCGCGGCTTTTCGGCTACACACAGAGGGATATGGAGCTGCTGTTCCCCTTCAGGGAGAAGGTTTTCTACAGCTTGCTGAGGGAGAGTGGTTACATGCATATCCAGTGTACCAAGCCCGACACTGTGGGTGCGTGCGTGCTTCCGGCCAGGGGGCCTCACCCAACCCCGTGACGCTGCTGGGGATGCGCAGAATCCTCCCGGGAGGGACCCGAGCTCGTTCTGGGGCCGCAGGGCTGGGCAGAGGTCAGGCGAGGCAGACACCTGCTGGAGCGGACTCGGTGGGCCCCGGGGTCTGGACCCCTGAGCCCTGCACCCTGAGGCTAAGTCCTGGCGGCCCCAGGACTCTGGGGGTTGGAGGGGGTCAGGATGCATTGGGAACTGTTCCCCTAATTTGGACTTTGAGGCTTTCTTACTTTTTAAGAATCAGAGCATATAAACTAAAAAACCCCACTTTTTTTTTTTTTTTAGTTTTTTTTTTTATTTAAGTCATCTCTGTACTCATCGTGGGGCTGAAACAACCCTCAGATCAAGAGTTGCATGCTCTTCGGACCAAGCCAGCCAGGCACCCCAAAACCCTATCTGGGTCTCCCCAAACATGGGAAGCTGCCCGTGCCATGGAGAGACCCAGGAGCAGTGGGGACAGCATTACCCCTTTTTCTCAGATGAGCGTTCCAAGGCCGAGGGTTGAGTAGATGGGGGGTGCATGAGTGCCCCAGGAGCAAGGGCAGCGCTGTGCCCCAACACAGGGCCCTGACCGCTAGCTGGTCCCAGGCCCGAGTCAGTCCCTCCCTTGCTTCTCCCCATCCCAGGCTGCGCTCTGAACGACTCCCCCGTGGGCCTTGCTGCCTATATCCTGGAGAAGTTTTCTACTTGGACCAACCCGGAGTTTCGAGACCTGGAGGATGGAGGCCTGGAGAGGTGAGACCCTGCTGTCTAGCCGCCAGCCAGCATGTCCTACCTATGGCTGGGTACCCCCCGGACCCTCGCCCTGGTGAATACGGCCCCAGTTCCTCTGGATGAGCGAGCAGAGGCACAGAGAGGCCTAGCGACTCTCTCCAAGCCTCATAGTAGAGCGGTCAGGAATGGGATACAGGGCTGGAGAATGTCTGTGGTCCATTTGCTAAACAGTCCCCTCCTGGGATCAGTGGGTCCAGAGGGCAGCAAGCCCCCTTTATTGCCAAGAGGTGTGAGCAGCCAGGGATCCCCTCCCTCCAGAGCCCACGAGAGCCCAGCGTCGCCACCTGACCGTGTGCCCTGGGGAAGCCAGGCCTGGAGACAGCTGCAGGGAGCCTAGGAGTACGTGACTTCCAGGCCTCTGGCCTGACTCGGGCTCCATCAAGGTCAGCCCTGACTCAGCTTCTCCAGCACCCATCTCTCTCTTCATTGCTGTGGGGGCACACAGAGCACCAGACACAGTGCTGGGGTGGGAGTAGGGTGAGCTGGGGCTGGCTCCCACCTGGGACAGGGAGCCGTGTCTAGGCAGTGCTCTAGCCCCAGCACCTAGAAGGAAGCTTGAGCTCGACAAACACGCACTGGACGAATGAGCCCTGGCTGTGCGAGTCCAGAGAAAGGAGGATCTGCTCCATCTCTGGGGCAGGGAGGGGAAATGACTGGGAGAATCTATTTGATTGGGACCTTGAAGGGTGAGTGGGAGTTTGCTGGTGAAAAGGATGGAGGAGAGTTGAGGCAGAGAGAAGAGCAGAAGCTAAGGTGGGAGGGATAGAAACGCGAGGTGCTCTTGGAAAGACTGACTTTGCCAAGGATAGGGGCAGGTATGCAGGGGCCACACCATGAGCCCAAGCATGAGCCCAAGCATGAGCCCTCATGGTGGGATCCATTCCCTGCCCCACGCTGGGCAGGGCATGACGGCGCAGGGGTTCTACCAGCATGTCCTTGGCAAGGAATGGCAGGACAGCCAGGGCTCAGTGGGGGGTCAGGGGGAGCAGGGACAGCCAGGGCTCAGTGGGAGTGGAGGGAGGCAGCAGCAGAAGGAGCAGTTTCTAGCTCCCCACCAGGCTGCAGGGACGCCCTTCATCAAGCAGGAACTAGGGAATGAGGAGGGGAGCCTTGGAGTGTCTGTGCCCATTTGGATGGTGGAAGTGTGCACGTGGATTTGGATACAGACACACGTGAGCGTGCGTGTGTGGGAGCACTTGCATCTGTGAGCGTGTGTGTCCACCAGGGGCTCGGCAGAGATGCGGGCTGCTTCCGGTGTGGACTTGCTGAGTGGGAGGTGCCTGATTGGTTAGGGACTGAGATGGGTGATCCGGAGCCCCAAGGAGGGGTCCAGGGGAGGAAATTATTTTCTCTGTGCTCCGGGGGGAATGAGCAGGCTGGGCAAGCAACACCCTGGCGGGGGGGGACAGAATCTGGTGGGAAGCCCCTACCTGGACAGGGGTTGGCAAGTGTGGGTTGACAGTTGCAGGGATGCAGAGAGGGGGGCAGAGGGGAGACAGGAAGGCAGGCCTGGGTGGTATGGACGCCAGACTGTGGGCAGGGGAGGCAGAGTGGCCCTGGAGGAGGCCAGTGAAGGGATGAGCATGGGAGGCGGAGCTCTCCAAAGCCCCCAGATCTGGAATCGAGCAGGGAAGGCATGAGGGGAGCTGCTCCACAGAGCTGGTGTCCCCTGGGGTTTGTGGACCATCAGGTGGGTCTGGGTGCCAGAAGGCACGGGGCTGATGGCATTGAAGGGGTATCATAGCAGGGGGGGCAAGGTGTGAAGCTAGTGGATCTGGGCACATTGGGGGGCTCTTCTGGGAGGGAAGGCTGGAGGCTGAGGGGGCAGAAGATGAGTAGGGGGAGGGCATTCGGGGGCAGAGGTGGTGGGCACCAGCACCTGGACAGGGGAGGCCATGGAGGGCTCCTGGGGTCTTTGGACACAGGGTAGCATGAGGGGACCCAGCAAGAGCAGGACAGAGCCCGGGTGGCATGTGGGGTTTCAGGTTTCCACGTGCCCCCACAGTAAGAACCAGATGGCTCTTTCCTCTGCACGCGTGGAGCCCCACAGCCTGGGTGGGTTCCCATGCTGGGCGGGCAGGTCCAAGCCTGCCTGGCTTCAGGGATAATATGCACCTGCCTGGGGCGTCTGAGCAGGAGGCAGGACCCTGGGTGGGGGTCCCCAGGGCTCACAGCCTAAAGGCCGTGCCAGGCTCTGAGGGGCCTCCCGGGGCTGCTTCTGCAGGAAGTTCTCCCTGGATGACCTGCTGACCAATGTCATGCTCTACTGGACAACGGGCACCATCGCCTCCTCCCAGCGCTTCTATAAGGAGAACCTGGGCCAGGGCTTCATGGCCAACAAGCACAACCGGTGAGTGTGGCCGATCCCGCAGCAGGTGCCTGCTGATGGGCCTCCAGAGGCGGGAGCAGTCAGACCACCGGCTCTCCACCCCCTGAGAGGCTTGACCCCCAGGGAGGGTCTTTGATGGCCAGACTTTGCAGCGCAGCTGGCCCTTCCGCAGAAGGAGGCTCCAGTGGGCTGGAATTGAAGAGAGTGTTTAGAACCCTGGGTCTGTCCTTTCCGGCTCCCTGTGGGTGGGCAAACAGACCCCCACTCCCCCGTCCCCAGTCCTTGCTGCAGGGGACAGAAGGGGACCAGGATGCCACCTTGCCTCTCAGTGAGATCTCTGTCCTTCTAGGATCAAGGTCCACGTGCCCACAGGCTTTGCTGCCTTCCCTTGTGAGTTAATGCATGTGCCGGAAAAGTGGGTGAAGTTCAAGTATCCGAAACTCGTCTCCTATTCCTACATGGCCCGCGGGGGCCACTTTGCCGCCTTTGAGGAGCCAGAGCTGCTGGCCCGGGACATCTGCAAATTCGTGGGGCTGCTGGAGCAGCGCTGATGCCCGTGGGGCTGGCTGTCGCCCGCAGGCTCCCCGGCCGACAGCTGTCCTCCCTGCCCCAGGGCCCTCCCAAGGAGCAGGGAGACCCCCCTCTTCTCTTTGCAATGATGTATGCCCCATACCTGTCCCCCACCCCTGCTGGCCCCCTGCTCACTGCCCCCCTCCAGTGCTCCCACACGCATGTCAGTGATGATAAATGATTCTATTCCTAAGAATGGCTGGAAGCAGGTGACATGGGCACACCCGTCCCAAATGGGGAGCCGTCCCAGTACATCTGGCAGGTTGGGTCTGGGTTGGGGGGGGGGTCCCACTGGGAAGGGCGGAACAGGCCCGGGGTGGGGGGGGCACCGCGATGCTCCACCCCCTCCTCATGTCCCTGGCTGCCCAGAGCATGGGGCTGCTGTGGCGGGGTGGGGGTGTGGCAGGGGGCCTGGGCCACCCCCCACCTGGTCCCTGTGCCTCTGGCACCCCCTGGAGGCAGTGGGAGGCTGCCAGTCCCCATCCCCACAGGGAGAAAAAGGAAGGGGCCACCTGTCCTTCCAGCCAGGGTTGCAGCCCACCCAACCCGGCCTGGCCCACTGCCTGCCTGTTCCCACAGCAGCTCCCAGATCAGAGGGGGAGGGCTGGACACCAGCCATCGTCTGGAACCCCTCTCCAGCTGGGATCCGCTGCAGGCTTTTTGGTTATTGGCTAGTTGAGGGGTCTTCTGGGGCTGGGCAAGTCGCGTGTCCTCCCTCGTACCAGATTCCATCACAGCAATGGGGCTGTGGGTGCACAATTCCAATACGGGATTCTGCCCAAAATCCCCAGGGACGGCATCCCAGCTACAGAGCTGGACATTTGTGCAGGAGGGGGACCTGGAAGTGAGCCGGGCTCTGAGCTGCTCAGCTCCCATCCCCTTTGCCGTGGCCAGAAAGGCCAGCGCTCACCACCCAATGGCAGTCCCAGCCTGCCCCCTCGGCCAAGGGCAAGAACACTTTCTGGTTCCATCGCTTAAAAGCAGCTGTGCTTAAAGCCGGTGGGAAGTCATCCTGGGCTTGGCTGGGGCCTGAGTCAAGCCACCTTCCTGCCTGGGTCTCCTCTCCTGGCTCCGAGCCTGGCCCAGCAGCCCTCAGGCCTCTTGGTAGGTAGGTATGCTGCTGTCACTGTCCCCGGGGCCCTGGGACAGTCTCGCTGATGCTGTGGATGGCGCCATAGGTCTGCTGCTGCTGCGGGGACAGGGCTGTTCTCTCTGAGGACAGGCCGCTCAGAATCCGGGGCACGTAGGGCTGCCAGCAAACGGGGGAGGAGGGACTGAGTGCTTGGAGCAGGGGGTGCAGGGGGAGCCGGGCATGAGACTCCAAACCCGCTCCTCCCCTGCTTCCTGCTGCGAGGCCCCAGAGCCCAGTGAAGAAGGGGACTCAGGCCCTCCACCTGTTCTGCCTCCTCCCCTGTCTGCAGGGGCAGGTGACCTCCGGGAATGCATCTTTCTGAGAACTCTCTCTCCACTGGGGCTGGTCTGAGGACAGACACACAGCCACAGGAGCACCTGGCCCAGGGAAGGCAGGGGCAGGAGAGAAGGCTGCTCTATCCTGGGTCTCTGGCAGGGACCCTGGGGCCCTCCCACGGCAGGCACTGGGGCCACCCCGTTTCCTGCACACTTCCGCAGCCACAGGCCCCTACCACACTGCCCTGGGAGAGGCCTGAGCGCAGGGGGCATGAAACCTGCAGAGAAGGAACCAGGGCCTGAAACCGGAACCAGGGGGTGGGGCGGCATCTTGGCCAATGTGGCTTCACGGGTATCAGTGATCACTTCTGGAATGTGGCTTTACCAGTGCTCGTGAAGCATCCCATGGGACTAGGGATTCCTTCTGGAACCGTGGCTGCCACGTGATCGAGGCACTTTTGTGCCCCCCCCCCCCCGGCCCTGCCCCAGGGAGCCCCCCAGGCTGGTGGCTGGGGAAGAAGGAGAACTTACCGTGAAGGCTGCTGGCCTGGGGGCATCTGCCTCACTTCCTCTGTCACTGCCCGAGTCCTCCGTCTGCAGATGACAGCAAAAACTCACCGTGATCAACAAAGCCCATCTCCCTGAACCAGCAGCCTCGGAACAAACCGACCGTTACCACCTGGGATGACAGTACTAGCGGGCACCAAGCTCCCCGCTGCAGGTGGGGGGAGCGGGCCGCGCCGGGGTTGGGGGGAGGGGAGGGAAGCCACACATCACACCCACCCGTGCCTTCCCCATGGATAAACAACATGGACAAGACTGCCGACAGGCTGGGCTGTGACAGGGTGGGGACCGCCCCCACCACCTCCCCACCCTCGTCCCCGTGGAACCCCTTACCCTGTAGTTCAGAGGGCTGAGGTGCTTGAAACATCCAAAGCAGGTGTAGGCCACACAGGCCAAGACGGTGAGCAGCACGACCAGGAGTGTAAACAGGGTGAGGGGGGCCCTCAGACCTGGGGACAAAGGGACACCAGCCATGCTGCGGGGGGAGAGGGGCCGCAGCTGGTGCAGCAACCACGTGGGAACTCTCCCGAGGCCAGGAGGGTGTCATCTAGCCAGGAGCAGCCGGAGGGGGACCCGCTGAATGGCTGGCTTCATCCCTGGTCAGATTTCAGGAGCTGGGACCCCAAGCCTGGCTTCCTTGCTGGGCCGGCTCCCTGGCAGCTCCATGCCCTGGGCTAGGTGGGATGGAGGCCCCCTCACCCGATCAGGGCTCGGTCACAATCCTTCTGCCTTTTTCATCGGCTGAGAGTGTCCACTTCTCCTCCCATGGGCCCCCACTTCTGCACTGTGCTGATGACCTGGGCCCACCCGCGCCCCAAACAGCAGCCTGCACCGGCTTGCCCTCTCTGGTTCAGACCTTCTCTGTAAGGTTTCTCCACTGACTTGGGGTCCCCGGGGTCCCCCGGGCTCCAGCCAGCTCTGGCCCTGCTGCCCCCACCAGCCCTTGCCCGGGACCCATGTTCCGATAGGGCACCCCAGTGAGGAATCTGACCAGCCGGTGTGCACGCAGCACCGTGAGCCCCCCTCCCCTGCCCCCGCAGCCCGCCCTGGTCAGAAGGGCCCCTCACCCAGGCGCAGGAAGGAGAAGAAACAGAGCCAGAAGAGGCACAGGATGGGCGCAGCCAGAGCCTGGTTCACAGCTGCCAGGTGGATCCTCTTCTCTAGCTTGGCCGGGAGATAGGCAAAGTAGAGGTTGTGCCGGTCCACCATGTGCTTGAGCAGGATGTAGATGAGGCCTGCGGAGGTGGGGCTGTGAGCAGCAGACCCAGCTGGGCCACCCCAGCCACGGCCCACCACCTCCTGCTTCCCGGGACTGGCTCCGCAGCCTGCCCATTTGGAACCCAAGTATTATGTCTAATGTATAAATATATATATATTTTGGTGCCGAAACCTAGGAACCTGATGTTTACTTTAGTGGCAAGACCTTGGTCTCCAAGGTCAAACGGTCCCCAGTCCAAATCCAGGTCTGCTCCTCACTCTGTCCCACTTCATCACTGGGTTTCATCAGTGAAAGGGGGACAGAAACCACACCTGCCTCGCAGCCCATGTGGCACGTGGCAGCGAGATCCCGGTGGCATGCAGCGGTGCGGGCCTGGCTGAGTGCAGGCGGTCCGCTGCAGAGCCGTTCTGACGGAGGGTGACCCAGCACCCCACCCCCAGCCACTCACCGAAGGGTGCGATGATGGGGCAGGTGATGCTGTAGGCCATGATGACCGTGAAGACACACAGCACCCACGCGTACATGGCGCCAAACTCGTACTGGAAGGCCTGGGTCTGGGTGGAGGGGCGAGGAGCTCAGTCCGGGCTGCCGGGGGACAGAGCGGGGACAACTTCCGAAGCAGGAGGCGCACAGCTATTCCCACCTCTTGGGGTCCCTTCTGCCTCCACAAAACCCCAGCCTCACTGGGCTCCCACCCAGGCCACCCAGGGCCACGAGGATTCGCGGGCCTTTTGTGTGTCTCTCATTCTGATCAGGGGTGCTCAGGACAGAGAGACAGTGACCCCCAACCCGCAGGCTTCAGGGTCAGGCCCCCCATGGAGCCACACAGCATGGCCCGGAGGCTGGGGTCCTGGGGACGGTCTACATCCAGGCCCCACCCACCGCGCCCCCGTACCTGCTGGACATTCCTGCGGTCAGCTGCGGTCTTGGCCATGAACATGCGGAAGGTGTAGAGCACCAGGCCTGGCAGCCGGAGCAGCTCCATCCCGTTGCCAATGAAGGCCGAGGCGATGACGTAGTTCACAAAGAAGGCACCCTGGTCAGGCAGGAAGACGCACCTGCAGGGCCGCCAGTGGGTGGGGGGTGAGCCGAGGCCGGGAGCCTCTCTCCCACCGCGGAAGGAGCCTCCAGGGCTCATTATTCCTCCCTCCCCAAGTGGCTCCATTCTCAGGAATAAGTCTCAAAGAACGAACAAGATGGCCACTAATGGAGTTCCGCCCTCAGAGATGACCCACATTTAGGCACAGTTGGCACAGAGTGGATCCCCTCCCCCCGGTGCCCACCGAAGGCTCTGCCCGGGCTAGGAGGGGTGCTGGGGAGGTGCCAGGCCCTGAGGCCGCTGGAGGAGAGGACTGTCCCAGAGTGTGCTCTGGACCACCCCCACCCCCCCACCGCCCCAGCCGAGCCCCCGGGGGATGTGTCCCAGGGACGGTGGCTCCCAAATGCGGCGTGGCCGAAACCTACTCCAGCCTGATGTAGCCTTCTGAGGAAGTTTTGTCAAAGAGCCACCGGAAGAAAAAGTCCAGACTGGGGGGAAAAAAAACAAGTGCCATGAGAATTTCTGTCCAGCACTCACTGCGCTCACCAGGCGTTTTCACATTTTTCTGCTCAAAGCATCAGGCAGGACCTCCAGGTCCACGTTCCTTCCCTATGATGCCACTTAACTGCAGGGTAACCGATCAGGCCGCTCTCCCAGCAACTCCTTCCCTTAAAACAGATTCTCCGTTCCCTACGGGGAAGGTCCGAGCTCCGTTTTGCTCTCAAGCTTCATTTAAGGAAGAGACCTCATCTCCAGAAGAATCTGTGAGCCCCACAGCACCCCGAGTGGGCGGGACGGGCGTGGATGTTGTCAGGGATGTGCGCGCCCCACCCTCAGACCATCTCCCCTCTACTGGGGACTGGCCGAGGGGACCAACCAACGTGAACTCTGAGAGGTGGCGGCAGGGGGT